AAAAAAAAAAAAAAAATAACGAAGTAAGAAAAGGAGAATCTCAGTTTCGACAATCAACGACAATTGAAACACCAATGCACCTCGATTATTCGTTTCCCACTCTCGTTCATCAATGCCCGAGCCCGTACTTACGAACGAAACATGGAATCGACTTTGAACGATATTATAAGCAAATTAGAACGGAACTTTGTGCGATTAAATCGTCCGCCTCCTGAGAAAAGGATTACCAATTACTAGCCTGCTTGGCACGTTTGCTCGTCTTCGAAAGCCGAAAATCAAGTTGCTGCGTGCGAATCACGGCGGAGAGGCTTGCCGACGAGACGAACGAGCGGTACGACACGGCACGAGCACGGCGAAACGAATTTGCATTGGACAATCGACGAGCACGTTTCATCGATTGCGACCGGCTGGGCCGCTCGATAAGCGCGCCTACCGGAAAACAACAAGAACACCGTTTCCGTGTCGTTCCGTGTACACACGAACCCTGCAGAGTGCAGGGTGAGAAAGGGAGAGAAAGACAGAGAAAGAAGGAGAGGAGGGGAGAATTGAATAAAAGAAAGACGGGGGAGGAAACGATGCTCGCCTCTTGGAAAGGAACGCAGCTGACGGCAAACAGCCAGATAGACACAGGGGGTTGATGACGTGGTCAGGCAATTTCTGCGCTCCGCTGTGTCCCGTTCCTCCTGTTCGCAACAATGCGAATGTCGCGTTATATTGTCGCAGCGGCGGTATCGATCGGTGTCCAACCGATGGAAGGCAACGTGGCATCGAAGGCTAACTGTCGCGTGTCCTGTCGCGTGGACACCGGCAATAAAGGGAAGGACCCGACCATTTAACCGTTTCGCTGAACATTACGGGCGAAACTCTTTTGAAAGCGTACTTAGAGGCGTTGGTGGAAAACTAGAGGCGAGCCAGACACGTCCGACAAAGTTCGACGACGATTGGAAGGTGTTGTCGGTCACTCGTTGTTAATCGAACGCCTGCGAAATAATGGCACGCGTGGTTTTAACTCTCGAGACTCGGTATCGTTGCCGTCAAATTTTAATTTTGATTTGTGTTCTGCGGCAAAGTTGTCGAACTTAAATAATAGATTGCTCTCGAGTCTCCGCCAGACTGTGATGCCATTGAAAATTAACAGCCACAGTGATTTTGATAATTCGACTTAATTGAAATTAAGCGAGGGTAACGAAAACAACGAGATGAAATTAATATTATTTTATATCTCACCAGTCTCGCTCGTGATATATCGGTAATTAAAATTAAATCGAATTTTCGAAATTGATTCAGATTTACAATTTTCCAAACGATATCAGTTAGATGTTGAATTATGTTTCAATAATATTAATCGATGGTGGTTAATGGTGGATAACGTTTGAAAGAAATGGTCGATCGATATGCTAAAGAAACAATATTATTTTTAATGAAACGATCGGTGTGTGTGTGTGTGAAAATTGGACGAATTGCGAAGGTATTTGTACAAGGTATCGATTGACATTTTTAATGGATGGCTCAGGTTGAATCGCGAATAAACATCAGATATATTCGCACGAACGCTCGATAATCTTTTATCTTTGACATTTATCAGTGACAAGAGAACTCTTGTAAGTGTCAAACCGCCATTTAGGTAATCGTCGTGTGAGAAATGTAGCGGCCTGTCGTAGAAGGTCGGACCTTTATTTAGAAATATCGCAACGAAGTAAAAGTTACACACAAAGTGTAAATAATAAAACACTGAAACTGAACGAAAGAATAACACCCACGTGTTACAGGGGCAACGAAACGAAAAGAAAAATTCAGAAAGATTCCAATTCAACAAAAGGAGGAGTGCACGTGTCGCAGAGGCACGTCCTCCCCCACGCACACATGCAACAGATATAATACCCAGTATATGAGAGAAGCTCATCGTTCTTTCTTTCGCTTTGGTCGTTAACAATCGTACATGCTGGGACCAGCTGACGCGTGCCAGCAACAGGAAATGAAACGGCGCGGCGCACCGGTTCCCTGTGATTCACGAATTCAAATATTCATGGCGGGGGTCATG